TTATTTAGTGTTTAGCAATGTTGTTGATCTGTGTTGTGCTACTTACATGTTATCACTGTGAAGCTGCTTTGATACAATCTGTATTGTGAAAAGCGCTATATAAATAAATGTGACTTGACTTGACTTGACTATCTATCTATCTGTCTGTCTGTCTGTCTGTCTGTCTGTCTATTTATCTATCTATCCATCCATCTTTTTATCTCTCTGTCTGTCTATCTATCTATCTATCTATCTGTCTGTCTGTCTGTCTGTCTTGTCTGTCTGTCATCTGTCTGTCGTCCTATCTATATATCTATCTGTCTGGCTGTCTATCTATCATTCTATCTGTCTGTCTATCTATCTATCATTTTGTCTATCCGTCTGTCTGCCTGTCTGTCGTTTTATCTATCCATCTGTCTGTCTGTCTGTCTATCTATCTATCTGTCGTTCTATCTATCTATCTATCTATCTATCTATCTGTCTGTCTGTCTGTCTATCTATCTATCTGTCATTCTATCTATCTATCTATCTATCTATCTATCTATCTATCTATCTGTCTGTCTGTCTGTCTGTCTGTCTGTCTGTCTGTCTGTCTGTCTGTCTATCTATCTGTCATTCTATCTATCTATCTATCTATCTATCTATCTATCTATCTATCTATCTATCTATCTATCTATCTATCTATCTGTCTTTCTGTCTGTCTGTCAGATAGATAGATAGATAGACAGACTATCTATCGATCTATCTATCAGTTTGTCTATCTATCTATCTATCTATCTATCTATCTATCTATCTATCTATCTATCTATCTATCTATCTATCTATCTATCTGTCTGTCTGTCTGTCTATCTATCTGTCGTTCTATCTATCTGTCTGTCTGTCTGTTTGTCTGTCTGTCTGTCAGATAGATAGATATATAGACAGACTCTCTATCTATCTATCTATCTATCTATCAGTTTGTCTATCTATCTATCTGTCTGTCTATCTATGTATCTATCTATCTGTCTTTCTGTCTGTCTGTCAGATAGATAGATAGATAGATAGATAGATAGATAGATAGATAGATAGATAGACAGACTATCTATCTATCTATCTATCTATCTATCTATCTATCTATCTATCTATCAGTTTGTTTATCTATCTGTCTGTCTGTCTATCTATCTATCTGTCGTTCTATCTATGTTTCTATCTATGTTTCTATCTATCTATCTATCTATCTATCTATCTATCTATCTATCTATCTATCTATCTATCAGTGTGTCTATCTATCTATCTATCTATCTATCTATCAGTTTATCTATCTATCTATCTGTCTGTCTGTCTATCTATCTATCTATCATTCTTTGTATTGTTCCATTGTTCTATCTTGTTCTTTCTATCTTTCTGTTTATCTATCTATATATCCATCTATCCATATTGCACAAAATGTAGCATAACTAAATGATCATTTGTCACACACAGGACAGGGTTGTTGCTCTCGTTCGCACCTGAGAGCCGTTAGGCAACACTTGTATGAGGAATGTAAATCAGGAACACACTCCTATATTTCAATTCCAGCCAAAAGTCCCATCCCTCCCTGCTTTTATGGATCTACATTTTTGTAGCATAGAATAAAAGGCTGCATATGAATTAATTTGCGCCAGCCGCTGGATGCACTAAAGATTAATACAAATGCTTTGAGTAAATTAAACGCTACTGTCAATATACTTTTCTTATTAGATGTCTAAATATTTACTCAAGTCCTCAAGAGTTCCCGACTGTTCTGCTTTGATCTGCTCCATAATTTGGTCAGCATGTATTGATCTTTCTCCAGCGCAGTAAAACACATGTGGGACTCAGAGGGCCCGAGGAACCAGCCAGGACTCGCCCGTCCCCTTCAGAGAGGCGTCGGAGAGATTTTGGTCCCCTAGAGTTTCGGATAAACCTCAGAGACATGAAAATTCACAGAGAAACTCATTGAGAGTTGCAGATTAGGAGTGAGCATGTACAGGGGTCCCAAACATCACTCAAACCCTTTATGTATGGTTCAGTTACGATAATTACGATAGTCACTGAGCCAGATTATGCGATTTTGACTCCTAAACTTTTAGTCGATTGACCATTCGCAAAAAGACCCGCCCCCTTTAGTTACTGTTGCTACGTCCAACAAGCCACGCCTCTCTCACGCCACACCAGAAAAGGTTACGTTTGATATGAAACAGTCTCAACTTTCACATTTTGTCTTTTAAAAAAAATAAATTTAAACAATTAATATTGCTTTGTTGCTCTTTAAAGTTTGTGGAACTGCTTTTGCATTTTTGATACCTAGAAAGACTTGATTCTCACTGATTATTGGTGTATATCTTTTTTGAAAAAAGTTATAATTTCCACTTTCCTGCTAACTTTCAATTTAAACAGACTTTAAGCTGTTATTGTTTTGCATTTTGAAATAGAAGGTAGTATCCAGGGCTCAGACAACAACATAACACACCCTTCCTCTGTGACCCTCAGCCTTCCGTGATTTTCTTTTCTCTTCCCTTCTTTTTTTCTTCTCTCCCGCTGTGTTGTTGGCTGACCTTGTCAGCTTTGATGAACTGCTGGCGATCGATTGAGGCTTGTCCCGGAGCGCTTTGATTATGGTTGATCCAGTTACAGTGCCCTCTTCTCTTTGAAGCTCAGCTGCTGGTGTTATTTCAGTGGAGCATCTTCACTCAGACCCTCATAGTCCCGCAGCTGAGCATGAACATGTGTGGCGCCCTGTTTCTCTTCATCTGTCTGTCCGTTTATCCATCCGTCCATCCACATATCTTTTTGTTCGTTCTTTCATCCATCTGTCTGTTCATCAGTCCTTTCATCTATCCATCCATCCATCAGTCTGTCCAGCCATCTCTCCATCTGTCTGTCCATCCATCCATCCATCAATCTGTCCATCCATCCATCCATCATCCATCCATCCAACTGTCTATTCATCTGTCCTTCCATCCATGCGTCCATCTATCTGTCTGTCCATCCATCTGTCCATCTGTCTGTCTGTCCATCCATCCATCTATCTATCCATCTGTCCTTCAATTCATCCATCTGTCCGTCCGTCCATCCATCTGTCCGTCCATCATCCATCCATCTAACTGTCATTCCATCTATCCATCTATCTGTCTGTCCATCCATCCATCCATCTGTCTATCCATCCATCGTCCATCAATCCAACTGTCTATCCATCTGTCCTTCCATCCATGCGTCCATCTATCCATCCATCCATCCATCCATCTATCCATCTGTCTCTCCATCCATCCATCCATCCATCCATCATCCATCCATCCAACTGTCTATCCAGCAGTCCTTCCATCCATGCGTCCATCTATCTGTCTGTCCATCCATCCATCCATCTATCTATCCATCTGTCCATCCATCTGTCCATCAATTCATCTATCTGTCCGTCCATCCATCCATCTGTCCGTCCATCCATCTGTCTATCCATCCATCATTCATCCATCTAACTGTCTATCCATCTATCTGTCTGTCCATCCATCCATCCATCTGTCCATCCATCCATCCATCCATCCATCCATCCATCTATTTATCCATCTGTCCGTCCGTCCGTCCATCCATCCAACCATCTACCCATCCATCCATCCATCCGTCCATCCATCCATCCATCCATCCAACTGTCTATCCAGCAGTCTTTCCATCCATGCGTCCATCTATCTGTCTGTCCATCCATCCATCCATCTATCTATCCATCTGTCCATCCATCTGTCCATCAATTCATCTATCTGTCCGTCCATCCATCCATCTGTCTGTCCATCCATCTGTCTATCCATCCATCATTCATCCATCTAACTGTCTATCCATCTATCTGTCTGTCCATCCATCCATCCATCTGTCCATCCATCCATCCATCCATCCATCTATTTATCCATCTGTCCGTCCGTCCATCCATCCAACCATCTACCCATCCATCCATCCATCCGTCCATCCATCCATCCATCCATCCATCCATCCATCCATCCATCTGTCTATCCATCCATCATCCATCAATCCAACCATCTATCCATCTGTCCTTCCATCCATGCGTCCATCTATCCATCCATCCATCCATTCATCTGTCTCTCCATCCATCCATCTGTCCATCCATTCATCATCCATCCATCTATCCATCTGTCTCTCCATCCATCCAACTGTCTATCCATCAGTCCTTCCATCCATGCGTCCATCTATCTGTCTGTCCATCCATCCATTCCATCCATCTATCTATCCATCTGTCCATCCATCTGTCCATCAGTTCATCCATCTGTCCGTCCATCCATCCATCTGTCCGTCCATCCATCCATCTGTCCGTCCATCCATCTATCTGTCTGTCCATCCATCTGTCTATCCATCCATCCATCTAACTGTCTATCCATCTATCTGTCTGTCCATCCATCCATCCGTCCATCCATCCATCTATTTATCCATCTGTCCGTCCGTCCATCCATCCAACCATCTACCCATCCATCCATCCATCCATTCGTCCATCCATCCGTTCGTGCATCTGTCTATCCATCTATCTATCCATCCATCTATCCATCAATCATAAACTGGGGGATGTGAAATATTGTAAATAAATGAAATCGTAGATATGCATCTTTTGTGAACTTTTCAGGCGTGTCTTGGAAACATCAGTTTCAGAAAATCCATCTCCTATAAATCACCACTCACATCCTGTCAATTTAAAACAGCAACGATCCAAATATTTATCATAATATTAAATAATTTCATTTGTTGTAAGCTGCTGTGTTACAGGCTACATCACCTGTAATGTGTCAGTGAAACAAATGGAGATCTGTGTTGGAGATTCATTTGAAGCTAGAAAGGAAAATGTCCATGGTACAGATTTTTGCCTCGTGTGTCACATTTACTGAGGTGTGCGACTATACTAGAACGCTTTATTATAATCAATGCAGCTCGTCCATGATTATAATGAGAGCGCTCTGGTTGGTCAGCGAACCGATGACGTCAGGGACTCCGTCGCTCGCGCTGTTGGCTCTATGGACGGACGCGCGCGTTGTAGTTTGTTTGTGTCGCGACGCGTAGATGGAGTGTTTGAATACGCTCCGTTGTTCTCGGCAAACGTGTGATATAACTTACTCCTTTCGAAAGGATTACCGCGTTTTATTGTGATTGAGGACTATGACTCTGTGTCCGCTCATAAAACGGCACTTATAAAGCGGAGTTCACGTTTGTTTACGGAGTTTACGGACGCCGTTTGTTTGGATGTTTGTGGCGCAAAAGTTTGTCGAGTCCAGAAGTAAATAACGCGGTTTGGAGACACATTTGGCGCTTGAGCAGAAGATAAAGATATCTGAGCATAATATATGAGTAAATCTAAGCCTGTCTCACCAAAAGGCTCTTTTAAATCAGTTTTGAGTGTGAAAGTAATGGAAACCTGGAATCTGTCCTAACTGTAAGTGACTAGAAATTTGTCTTTTATTTTTGTGTAACCGTTATGACTGTCTATCTATCTATCTATCTATCTATCTATCTATCTATCTATCTATCTATCTATCTATCTATCTATCTATCTATCTATCTTTTTTTCCTTTAGCCTCTTCATGCAGTTGTGTTGGGATCTTCTATTAATTACTGTCTTTTAGTTTAATTAAAGGACTGAAAGAATGGGTTTTTTCAGGTTTCTGCTTGTCCTGCTCTTATCCTGCCAATTATGTAAAAAGAGTGGTTCAGTATGACTTTTTTTGTTGTGCTTATTCAATGTTGGTCGTCATGGTGCAGTTAGCCTATACAGTAAGTTACAGTACCAGTCAAAAGTTTTGAAACATTACTATTTTTAATGTAAAGTTTATAAGTCTCTTATGCTCATCAAGCTTGCGTTTATGTGATCAAAATACAGAAAAACAGTAATATTGTGATCAAAGCTGAATTTTCAGCATCATTAGTGTCACATGATCCTTCAGAAATCATATGCTTATTTGATACCTGGTTAATATCAGTGTTAGTAATAGTTGTGCTGCTTAATATTTCTTTGGAACCTGTGATACTTTTTTCACGATTCATAGATAAATAAATGTTTTAAAGAACAGCATTTATTCAAAATACAATCTTTTTTAACAATATAAAAATCTTTACTATCACCTTTTATCAATTTAACACACCCTTTGTGAATAAAATTATTAATTTCTTTAAAAAAAAACATTTCTTGAACGTTTTGGTTCTTTATAATGTTGCAAAATATTTCTATGCTGTCTTTTTACTTTTTATTCATCAACATTCATCATAACAATCACAGGTTATAAAAAATACATCTCAACTGTTTTCAACATTGATAATAAATCAGCATATTAGAGTGATTTCTGAAGGATCATGTGACACTGAAGACTGGAGTAATAATGCAGAAAATTTTGCTTTGATCACAGAAATATGTTCTATTTTAAAAAGTCTATTAAAATTACAAAACCATTGTTAAATTGTAATCATTTTTTGCCAATATTAAATTTTCTGTATTTTTGATCAAATAAATGCAGGCTTGACTAACTTAAAAAAACATTAAAAATAGTAATGTTTCCAAACTTTTGCTTGGTACTGTAGGCTATTAAATATTTTTTTTAAGAATGATATCACATACACATATAGTTGTATAATTTGGATTGAAAAACAATACATCAATTGTTGAAAATGAAGACAAACAGTTTTGTGTCGCTTTGTTGCTAGTTAATGATGAATTACAGCTGTGCTTCCTCACCTGTGTGAACTTGAGGAGATCCGACTTCATCCACTAAAGTCAGGGAGACTTCCCGATGGAAACTGATTTAGATTCAGATCATTTATTATTTAATGCAGTGGCATTCATACACACTCATAAGTGCGACTTTAAGGCACAATATGTAATATTTTTGATTGAAGTGAGAATTGTGAGTTAAAAAGTCACAAATTGTCTTTTAAAATGTTTTATTCTGTGGTGGTAACAATAGGGTGATATTAATTGTGTTCATTTATTATTAGGGATGGAATGGATCGCAGTTGATCCATGATCACATGATTTGACACGCATTTGATTCGCGGATTAACTGCTAAATTTATCCATCATAGAGTGAAAGTTTATCAATTGGAAGTGTTTTGACTTCAGTTTACACATTCGAACGATTTTAAACGCACAAGTAGTGGCGAAAATCGAGAGAGAGGCGTGTTTTAGACAGCGCTCGAATACAGAATTTATTCGTCTTTCGCGTTTACTTGCGCTTGAACGGACACATCTCAGCTCAGGGACAACATGTGCTATTCTCAGTAGTACACATAACCAGACTAAATTAATGCAGTGGCTTAAACGTGAGTGTTTTGAACATAAGCCTAAAACATAACATTTGCATTCGGTCTTAAAGTGACAGCAGCCTAATATTTCTTTCTGCGCATTAATGTTAAATAAACTGACAAAGATGAACCTATATTTAATTTGCACAGTGAACATGGTGTTATTTTACGTTTAGGCAGCTTGTAGGATAAGTACCTGGACCAAAAAGATTTTTAAATATTATGACTCTGAGCGTTCATAGTGCTGCGTGTGTTTGCCTCCCATGGGTTTCCCTTCTCAGAAAGCTCTCTCTATCTGCCTGCTTTTTAAATGGATACGGTTCAACTGCGAACACAACCAGATTTGTTGGTGTGAGAAGGTATTTCGGACGCTGTGTTTACAGCACATACACACAGGGCCGTCAGAGAGGGGAAACCTGCTCACCACACTGCATCAAATGAGATCTTTCATGCACTTATTTTGGATGCTTCATGCAATGTTTCGCCCTGAGGTTTGAGACTATCTTCAGTTTCCGATGGAGTCTTGCAGGTCTCCACCTGTCACGCAAGAACGTGGGTGATTTACTTCACTAGAAAGCACTGACCATGGCGTCAGTGTGTGTGTCTGGGCAAAGTTCCAGTATCACAACTGTGCGTCGTTTACCTGAGTTAATACGCTTGGGTCTTATTTTACTGCGATGTGCATGGCGTGAACTTTAAAACATCCAATGCAACATTTAATATCGGCCCGTGTCATTCCTCTGCAACAGTTTCCTGGCCATGGGGGCTGAAATTCAAGCATGCCATGAAACGTAGACGACTCTGCTGTCTGTCCAATGTGTTTGAACCTGTTCTTTTCAATCAGACAGCGCCTTTGAAATTCACTTTGTTCACAAAGCCATTCTTCCTGATATTCCCCTAGTGTTGGTAACCGAGAACCGGTTTGCTGTCTGAAGTGGCTCTTTTTTTTCTTCCTGAGATTCAGTTATAATAACAAACCACAGTGTACTGGAACTGCGAATCCCATTTAGCTTCTTCATAGAGAAAATTAATAGAAATACCCTTAAACCCTCCTGTAGAAACTGCATGTCAATTGTTCCTTTTTTTTAATAGCATAAAGCATGTTAATAGAATAATTATTTAATAACATATAAATAATGCATGTTCTAATTTGCATTATTTGCAAAAACTATTATTATTATTATTTATTTACTTATTTATTTTAATCTTGGAGTTTGTTGGTTTTGGTAAAACTTTTTAATGAAGAATAAATAAAAAATAAATGAGCAAAATATTTTCAGAATCAAGGCTGTCAAAAATGACTCTTGAGTCGGTTCTTTTTAATGATTCGGTCTCGAACTCCTGAGTTATTGGTTTAAATCAATCTAATGATTCACTCATTATGTAAATAATAAAGGTGCTGGAATGATGATGAGTTAATAACTAATTATATTTCTTATGTTTTTTTTTTTTTTTACAAGCGTTATTATAGTTAAAAATCATAAAACCATAAATCAAATTAATAAAAAAAAAATATTGAAATAAAATAAATTTGAACTCAAATTATTTGGAAAAAAACGTACAAATATTTTAATATTTTCAAGGCAACATTTCTCATTTTTATTTAGTTTAATGCGCTAAAATATAAAATGTCAAAAAGATTTGTGAACAACTGACTCTGAGTCTGAGTTATTGGTAACTAATGATTCACTCATCATGTGAATATTTAAAGAAATTGAATGATGAATAATAAATAATAAAATTAAAAATGAATAAAAGCTAAAGACATTAAAAAAAACTAATAAAAATTCTAAAACTAAAAAAAAAAAAATCTAAAATTAAAAATGTAACTTCAAAACTGTCTCAGTGCTACTAAAATAACGCTGGTTTCCACACTTATTCAATGACCTAAAGGGGTAGTTAGTTACACTGAAAAGTGTTCAGTTCACTTACTTAAAAAAATGTAAACCCGTTGCCTTAATATTAAGCAAATAGACATAATGCTTAATTGAAAAAAAATAAGTTATGTGAAATTGACAATTCCACATCACTTCATTTTTTAATTAAGCATGACGTTTACTTACTTAATTTTAAGGCAACGACAACGAGTTTCCTCAATTTTTTTAAGTTAAGTCTACTGATGGATTTTTAGTGGTTATAGTGTTCATCTGTACATGAGTGACCATGATTGTGTGTTTATCTGCAGATTAAGTCCGGATCAGGAAGGATCATGACCTCCGACCTCCGGCCCCTCAGCAACGGCGGATCCGCCACAGGTTTCCCCGCCGCTAATGTCAGTGAAGACCAGGACCGGGACCAGGGAGTGTCCACGCATCCCGATGACCAGACCCGGTCGAGCCAGAACGGCGGACTCAAAGCCAACGGAAGCGCACTTCCGTCTTCGCCGAGCTCCTCGTCGCATGATTCTCCGAGGTTGGCCGTTCTGTTGCCCAACTCCCTGCCTCCGGCGTGTTGCGTGTACTGCTCGCCTCGGCCTGCCGTGTGCTGTAACGGGACCCCGCAGGACCTCGCGCTCTTCCAGAGTGCCCACATGGGCTCCTGCTGTGTTCAGGGCGTGCGCTGTTTCTGCATGCAGCATCACTGGCAGGAGCATCTCCAAAACCAGCCCAACATGCCCACGCTGAGGTGAGCATCTCCTCCGCACTGCATTTGGGGAAAACTACTACATTTTAACTAGGGGTGTAACGGTACACAAAAATCACGGTTCGGTACGTACCTCGGTTTTAAAGTCACGGTTCGGTACGTTTTCGATACAGCAAAAAGAAAGAAATGCCAGAGAAATTTCCTATTTGTTTAAAGAAAAAATATTTTTAAATAAGTGTGAGTTTTCCTAGATCTTGAAACTTTCAGGTTTATAAATAGGGGTCATCTTTGAAGGATGAACAAATAATGTTTTGGTCATCACATTAAAAATAACATTTAAATATATATTTATTTATATAATATTGAATTTTGAAGTGCTGGAAAAAGATGTGTGAAGTACTTGAAAGCATTTCACCATTCCAGCCAAACTGGTTCCAGTTAGTGTTACTATATTAAATCCATGGTGAATGTTGCTGGTCTGTGGACGTAAAGTATAGTTCATTCACGGCACAATGTTTCTCCTGGTTTCCACGACAGCGCTGTTTGATCTAATAGAGATCAATGTGAATGCATCTCACTAGATCTCGCAGCGATGTTATTACCTCAGTGGCGAATTCAAATGTTTTCTTTACCGGATCTCTTAGTGCGGTGTGGTAACAGTGTTGCTTGATCGAGATCGGCTCTCGCTGCACAGATGTTGCTGGTCCGAACGGATAAACGATCCGTGAAGCACATAACGAGGAGCGCAGTTTCGTTCTGCTTTCATTACCCTTGCCATTTGATGTTGCGCAACGTTGTGTTGGCCGCGTCAGCACGAATTTTGCTGGCAAGAAAAATGGTCCAAGCAATCGTTTGGTTTGTATGCGTACCGAACCGGAAGCCTCGAACCGAAACGGTTCAATACGAATACATGTACCGTTACACCCCTAATTTTAACATTAATGACGCTTTTCCACTACACAGTACCAACTCGACTCGCCTCGCCTTTGTTTGGTTTTCCACTGTGTAAAAGTTGTACCTGTACCGGGTAAATTTCTTTGTATCACCTCCACTGAGGTTCTGAGCGAGCTGAGCCGGTACTAAAATGTGACGTGAAAACAATGCCGAGTTTGCCGACTGCTGATTGGTCAGAGAGAATCGTCACCATTCACTGCGTGGTCATTGCACGCGCCAGATGGAGTATCCAGAATATCCCTGCCATTTTTAAATAGTTTGGCCAGAGATACTTACTAAACTTGCTACTATTATTAAGGCAACTTGGAAGAATACGAGGAGGTGCAGACTTTCCTTTGTTTGGTTGCGCCATTTGTACGATTTTTTTACCTTAAAATAATGTTCCCAAAACCGTTTCAGTGGTTCATCGAGTCGTAACAGGGTGATAGGCACCGATATCTGATTGCCAGATCGGGTCGTGGTTCTGTAGTTCTAATGAGACATAAGAAAACTACAAATTCGACTTGCTTTACGTCAAGCGTTACAATAGTCATTATTTCATTAATCTTTTCACAGCCCTAATATCATAATTAGATTTTTTTTAGCAATAGACACATTTATTTTTTGAGCACGTTGAGATTATCAGCATCACCGTTTAGGTGATCAATTTGTTTTATATATATATATATATATATATTTATATATATATATATATGAAGAGTTCAGATGCAAAAGCCTCTAAATGCCATTTGAAATTTTCTTCTTGAATGATGATTTTTATCAAACTTGTATATTTAAGTTCAGTGATCTCACCACTTAACTGTCGCCGTCCCACAGGTGGGATGATTGCCTTTATATTTTTAAAACAATAATATCTTAGTAAATACCTTAAATAATATTGACAAACTATATATCATTTGAAAGCTTACAATCTCTAGTTTCCATATTTGGTGACTGATTTTCAAAATATATTACAGAGGAGCCATAATTTATCAATATAAAACAAGAATATTTTCATACTCATAAGGCGTGTTCAGACCTTTATTTTAAAATAGCAGTAAACATGAAAAATCATGAAAAAATGGTAGATACCTCAGTTTGTTTTCATGCCAAAAGTTCAAAAGATAGAATCCATTCAATTATTTTGGAAAAAAAGGTCTGAAAAGTTTGAAATATCAAGAAAAAAATAAATTCACCATTTGTGACGTGTCAGCTAGCTATGACTTACATGCGTGTTCTTTGTATGTGTTTCTTAGAGGTTCAATTCATATCAAAATCTGCCAAACTTCCCATGCTACTTCTGAATAGGATCTCTACTTCAGAAATTGTATGAAAATTGTGAAAATAATGGTTCATATCACTCAAAACACGAATGGAAATGCAGGCGCCCTTATATGGGCAGTAATGGAGTCTGGTTGTGCCCTAGTGAAAAAGTTGGGTACTGCGCTCAAACAAAATCTCACTGAAAGCTCATTTTGATCAACCTAAAATTTGGTTGATATCAACCTAAAATTTGAAACACAACTTGTTCAGATTTTTGGCTTTGATCTTTCTGCCATTTTAGAGTAGCCCAGGTTTTGAAAATATATATTTTATGTAAAATATGAATAATTAATATTTTTACATTGTACATTTCCATAAACTTAAACTTCTATAACTTTTTTTCTGTTTCACTTTCTTAATTTATTTCACTTCTACAAAAATCTGCCAAATGTCTTCTTTAAAACAAGACCAATCATATGTCTATATTCCAAAGCATTCTTGAATTACAACCATTTAAGTTCGAAATGTGCATTTTCATGTCTATTCAAAAAAGGGGGGGGGTGACAGTTAACAGGTTGAATTGGCAATGATAATTACCTATTAATTGTTATTTAAGTGAAATTACTGAACTTAAATATACAAGTTTGATAAAAAATCATCATTCAAGAAGAAAATTTCAAATGGCATTTAGAGGCTTTTGCATCTGAACTCTTCATATATATATATATATGTGTATGTATTAAAATAATTGCCGTACCCACAATGTTTTGGGCGAGATATATTGAGCCTCCCTATTGTCAAAGCACCTGCAGATCCTCCAGGCCGAGACTGACGGCAGCGGATCTTCCCGAGGAATGATTGATGGTTTCGTTGACTGAAAAAGAGGGAGCTGACATGTAGCCATCTGGGGTCATGTGACATGTTTAACTCTTCCTGACACGCTTCATTTACCTGACCCGAGGTTCTGCGTTTCTCCGACCAGGTGCAACACAGAGAGTGAGAGATCTGGATGTGCCGATGACATTTAGTTTGTCATTTCGCATCTCCTGATAATTAAACATCTGATATGTTCTGATTAGTTGATTTTCACTGAGGACAGAAGCCAGGCTTGACGGAGGGAACTTGTCTTGTCGTGACTGGTTAAGTCAACAGATGCTTCAATCTGCTAGTTCAGCAAGATGTTTAATCAACGTCAGAAACAGAAACTTTGATCAATTCGGCCCAGTGTTGAAAGATTCACGTGAAGCTTCCAGGTCTTTGTTGCAGGACAGCCAGGCCTGGAAGATACTCACAAAACGTGTGTGTGTGTGTGTGTGACAGCTGCAAGCCCCGACCAGCCAACTAGCCTGAAAATAATCTATGTGTTCTCAGTTTCATGGTATCTTTTCGAGAAGCCTTTACATGTTATCGGGAACAACAACTGTTTAGCTCGTGTCTCTCAATCTTCTGAACATCAGTTCTCAGTCTGATTTCTACATTTGATCTAATCATTGAATGCAAGCAAATTCTCAACTAGACTAAATGCATACAGAAATCTTTCTAATACTGTTTTCTGTTGAAAACCATTGTGAACAAATTTTGTTCAGGATACTTTGAATATAAAGTTCTATTTCATTTATTTGTAATAGAATCTTTTGTAACATTATAAATGTCTTTACTTTAACTTTTGATCAAATTTAATGCATCTTTGCTGAATAAAAGTATTGATTTCTTTACCCCCCCTACCCATAAAAACTGTAGTGTATAATGTTACAAAAACTTTCAATTTTAGATTAATGATGTTCTTTCGAACTTTATATTCATCAAAGAACTGTTTTTTTGTACATAACTGTTTTCAACATTCGTAATAATTTAAAATTTTTCTTAAACATTAAATCATCATATTAGAGTGATTTCTGAAGGATCATGTAACACTGAAAACTGGAGTAATGATGACTTGGATCACAGGAATAAATTACACTTTACTATATATTCACATAGAAAACAATTATTTTAAATGCTAATAATATTGCACAATATTACAGTGATAATCACTGAAATTAACAGATTAAACTAATTTGCAGATGAATTTATCTCTAAAATCATTTTGGCTATTAAAGTTTAAATCAGAGACTTTTTAGTATTGGGGAAAGTTACTTTTAAAAGTAATGCAAAAATAATTTGAAATAATAATAATAATTATTATTATTAATAAAAAATAATTAAAATAATAATTATTAATTATTATATTAAAATAATCATTTGAAATTAATCGTGATAATTATCGATATTGACTGACATTAAACATTTTATTGCAATATTTTTTTTTTATCCGTATTACCCAGCCCTACTCTCATTCGAGTTACAAATCCACAATGGATTTTTTATTAATTTTTTTTATTACATTAATACACTTATTGAAAGTGTTGTTTAACTCATCTTCAATATACAGGTGAAACTCAAAAAAATTACAATATCATGCAAAAGTTCAGTAATTCAACTTAAAATGTGAAACTAATATATTATAGACTCATTTCATGCAAAGTCAGATATTTCAAGCCTTTATTTGTTATAAGTTTGATGATTATGATTATTGCTTAAAGCTTATGAAAACCCCAAATTCAAGAATATTGTGAAAAGGTTTTCATATCTGTAAGCCATAATCATCAAAATTATAACAAATAAAGCCTTGAAATATCTCACTTTGCATGTAATGAGTCTGTATAATATATTAGTTTCACCTTTTGAGTTGAATTACTGAAATAAATGAACTTTTGCACGATAGTTTCATCTGTATTGTTGTAAAAAAAAATTATTTATTTTTTCTCCCAGCCTTAGGCTACACTTGTGTTTTTGGAAGTTGAGTT